GAATATCAGCTGGCTGTAGGCCTGTGGATTTATTTCTGGATCTTCTATTCTGTTCCATTGGTCTTCGGGTCTGTTTTTGTGCCAGTACCATGCTGTCTTTATTATTATAGCTCTGTAGTAGAGTTTGAAGTTCGGCATGGATAGCCCTCCCATATTGTCTTTATCCCCTAGAATTGTTTTGGCTATTCTAGGTCTTTTGTAGTTAAAGCTTTTTGTAATGAATTATTTAAGTCAGTTGTGTGGGGAATTTTTGCATATTATTGGAAAAATCCCAAGAGTCTGAAAGTATGTGTGCATGTATGTCTGGATTTATATGTATAAATAGGTTGATAGTGTGTGTTTATGTCTGGACACATATATTTGGTATTGGGTATTGAATATTGAACTCAGGGCCTCACAGTTCCCTCGTCACTGGTATTAACTGGCATGCTCCACAGTGCCCAGCTATGGAGTAAGATGGAATCCTGAGAATTTTTATGCCCAGGCTGGCATGGAGATCCCTGACCTCCATATCTCATTGTAGCTACAGTGACCAGCTCAGGCTACCATGCCTCCCTTGACTTAAACATTTTCTTATTTTGTTTTGTTCTTATACCAGGGCTCCAACTTTTGTGTGCTCTGGCTAGGTTTTTTCACTTATAGCTGGTGCTGTTCCAACTTGAGCCATACCTCCACTTACGGCTCTTCACTGGTTAGTTGGAAATTCAGATTTGTCTTCCCAGGGGGGTTCTGAACCAGAATCCTGTCACCTTTCTGATTAGTTAGGATTGGTATGAGACCCTGACACCCAGCTCCACCAAAGATTTTTTTGAATTGTTGCTACTGGCTCAGTGTGTCTTGTATTACAGGCCTTTGTATCAGACATTTGAGATACAGCAGACTAGAAGATACAAACACTTCCATTTTATAAGTGAGGAAATTGCAAAGCAGAGAAGTCAGTTGTCTAGAATCACAGCTTTATAACTGTGGCAGAGTCTTATACTAAATCCAGTCTGATTTGTATGCCCTGGGCTTTTCTGAATTTACTTGTACATTGTGATGGGGATTAAAGGAGTAGATGGAAATATGTGACAAATAACGGGAAATGTGGGTGAAATTATTTTACTTTCTTACGTTTCTTAGTCTTATTACTTTAATGGAATTACTTTAAAATTATGTAAGACTTTGTTTTTATTAATGGATACTGAAAAATAAGGTAAAATAGCAGCTGCCTAAGAATTCACAAAACATACCTGACTAGAATGCCACCTGCAAGGGCAGGATGCATTGAATGCTTAGTAATAAAGCTGTGCAGCTTGCTTCTGTGGAAGTGACAGCCAGTGAGCACTGTAGGTGGTTTGGCATTGGTAGCCAGTGTTTTCAGTGTTCACTCCTGCCAGTCATAAGTGAAGTAGAATTTCAAGGTATAAAAATATGAATCATTTTTTTATTTATGTAAGAATCAATTGCCAGGCATCAGTGGTCACACCTGTAATTCTAGCTATCCAGGAGGCTGAAATCTGAGAATCAAGGTTCAAAGCCACCCAGGCAGGAAAGTCCATGAGACTCTCATCTCTAATTAACCACCAAAAAGCTGGAAATGGAGCTATGGCTCAGAGAATGATAGAGTGCTAGCCTTGAGTACAAAATGCTCAGGAATAGCACTCAAGGCCTTGAGTTCAAGCTCCAGGACCAGCACCCTCCCCCCCCCCCCAAAAAAAAAGAATCAATCTAAATTTTCATAGGCAAAATTAGATTATTATACACTTGAGAATTGTTTGATGAGTTAGACTGATATTTTAGTCCTACAACACAGATATCTTTGATGGCCCTAAAGATATTACCTAAATAAAGTATTTTTAGAGGAAAACTAGTTTCTGACTCAGCACTACTAAATACATGAATCTTTTCATGCATCTTCATGTCTAAATAAAGAGCAGGCACACACTCTGCCTGTACATAGATATTACGTATCAGTTTCATCCATACATCTGAGATCTCTCAGAAAAATGAACCCACTCAGGTCTTTTTAAACACACTTAAAAAAATAGTGTTCAGTAATTAGTTAATTCAGAAGTCATGTGTGGGTCTACAGTTAGCCAGGCAGTGATAAGACAGGGGTCCCAATTACAGAAAAAGCAGTTACTTTAAAATGTTTAAAAGTGGTAACTTTAAAAATGTTTTATCTTTTAATATTTATGAGCTGGAGTGGTCCAAGTGTATGCATCCAGTGAACAGATGTGATAGTCATCTCTAGATAAATGCTGGTAAATTAAAATCAACTTCAGTGTCAAATCTTAGATTGTGGTAAATCTGTGCTATTAACCTGATTAGAAAGGGAGGGAGGGAGGGAAGGAAGGAGAGAGAGAGAGAGAGAGAGAGAGAGAGAGAGAGAGAGAGAGAGAGAGAGAATGGAAGAAAGAAGAAAAGAAAGAAGAGCAAGAAAAAGAAAAAAAAGAGTGCCATCTAATGGCTCACTTCAAGCAGCCTGACAAAAATGCTTCTGTTTCTTATTTAATTCACAGCTACATCTGCTGGCCTAAAAAGGAACATGCTAAAAATGCTTAAATCGCAGTGCTTTGATTTCTTAAACATTTTGGCTGTATTCTGTAAATCCTATTATGAAATTTCATTTCACAGAGAATACCCATATTACACCAAATATAAACAGACATCTGTGTTTTATGCAGTGGTTTGTCATTTAGTCTGAGGTTAGTGGAAGCTGTCTCATTGGCTGACCAAAGCACTAAGTCTGCCTAGGATTGAAGGTGGCCCCTCCCAGCCTGTTAGTACCACCATGCAGAAGCCAGAACAAGTTCAGCCTCCAGCAGTGGCCCTGTCACCTCTGCTAGCATGCACAGCTCAAGTGCTCCATTACTTGAATTAGGGAATTTTAGTATGATTGAGGTAGCATGGATTTTATCACAGTAACTTACCTGTGTTAAAAAAGTAAATAAATAAGACAGTCTCCCTGGTCCCCTAAATCAGGATGTGATCCTGGGAGACCAGGTCAGTGTGATAGATTTAGAAAATAACTGAGATAAATATGCTAAGTCACTACAGTGGTATTAACGGACAATTCCTTGATTATAGAAGGAAAGAAGAACTCACTCATTTACCGTTATTCACCTGTTGCTCAAGAGCCGTGACTTACCTTTCCTTTCTTGCAGGTGGGTGGGTGAAGGACTTGTGAAGAGGTTTAGCTTGTTTATGGCCAGATGTCTTGTGTGTCT